CTTGCAAACCCCAAAGGGTTTCCTATAACACCAGCAGAACCAAAAACCTGCATAGTGAGGTTTGCTATAACGTGTGTAACAAAGTATGAGAAAAATGTGGAAGAAAGATAGCGAGAAGTAATTCCTTTTTCTTATTATGTAATATGATTTACATCCTTTAATTCTCTAAATAGAGTAGAGCAGTAGATCTGAATATTTAAGTCAAGATGCATATTCCGTAACTTAAGTAGATAGAAAGAAAAAAGAAAAAAAAAAAAAAACAAAGGAAGAAAGGAAAAACTTCAAGAATGATATCCTAAGAATCTGAAGAAATCAATATTCTGAAAATCTGGAGAAATCAAATCATAATCATGATTCTATGAAATTAAATCTAACCATAATCCCAATTCTATGAAATAAAATCTAACTTTCCAACAGTAAGAATTAACTTAATTCAGAACTGTCTAATGCCAAACTGTGGAATAAAGGACTTTAAAAATTACATAGTACAAATACAATTCGTATAAAAGGTTAATCAACTGCGTATGGTTCATAATATATCCGATTCACATAAATAATATGCGAATTGAATTAAAATTAAGACATTTATACAATTGTGTTTAAATTTTCCTTTGACAGAAACAAAGTTGAAGTTTACACAAGATGAACAGATGTCTTTTCTACTTTCTACATTAGTTAATAGAATAATATTATAAGAAGTGATTTGTTAAATATAATTTTCTTAACTCATCTAGAAAAATAGTGCAATTTATTAGCACCATGTTCAGTCTTAATGGTGTTGATAAGTTATGCAAAGTTGTAGCCTTTAACTCTAAACATGTCATTTCGCATATGCAAGGCATGCCCCACTTTGTGGCAAATTATACAAAAGCTTGTTTTCATAAGGCTACTCCTCACTACATGAAAAGATGCCCAAAATACTATTAACTTACAACTAAAAACCGTACAATCAAATCAAAACTTTATCCACAAGATAAAGCCATCTAGGAAGTTACCTTATACATCTCATGTAGAAATTGTCGAGTATAATGGCTAACAAGGATCTCTTGGATAGATTCCCAGCTGGCCATCTGGTCTGAAAGAACTAACTGCTTGAAATTAATTTTTGCTCCCTCGACATCAGCAAGAGCCATAAGGCCTCTCTACAAATTATTGCTTTCATTTAGTTCAAGGGGCCCAAAAAAGTACAAAAGCAATTTCTATTGATGTAATGTATTACACAACATCATTTCAAGCACGATGCAATAAGTTGGCAATTAACAGTGCATTCAAGGAGTGTTGAATAATTCTTCACTTCAGTTTCCTGCTTACATGAATAAGGGATTCTCCAGATGTAAGACCACCATTCCTTTGGATCCATGGGCTGCTGGAAAAGCTGTGAGGAAAAAAGGGTTAGCATCATGGGGGCATTTACTATTAGATGGGCTGGATTTCAGAAGGCACGGCATAACAGAACTGCTAACCTCAATGTTAGTTTTATTGGCCCCATATCAAAAAGTTCAACATATATTTTCTTATGCTTCCGCGTGGAAAGGCAAATTTCCTGCCAAGGAGCTCCAATTGGGACTACATGAGGAAGCAAAAGGCTTCTTTTGCGATCATTACTAAGCAAAGTACCAGCGTCAATGGGGTGTTTCTCATCCAATCTTCCAGAACTCACCCAAGCGATTTTAGATGTTTCAGCAAATTCGGAATCAGCAAACACTAGACTCTGCGTGGAGTCTACATGCTGAAAAACTCTGCTACGCAGTCGTGAAGATGTGCTTTTGCAAAATTCAAATAATCTCAACACAATTTCTAGCTCAATCTCAAGATAAAAATCTTCTATTCTGCAAAAGGGGAGTAATGCATCAAAGGAAAGAGATGCCAAACAATAGTCAGATTTAGCATTTGAAATCCCACAAACCTGAGGTTAATATATTCAAATGAAACAACAGATGCATCGGAGTTTCTCCACTTGGAAACAGCTAACGAGAACGCTGGCTCATGCAAGTCTGTGGAGGCTGTCTGACTTGCACCTCCACCGATTGCACTTTTATCTTTATACTTCATTTGGTTTACAAAATTGCTCTTGTTCCCACGATTGAAGGATAGGATTACCGGATAAGGCGTTGTGTGTAATTGGTTGTCAATTTGCAACAGTGCTGCTTGCAGGGAGAACTGCTGCTGATCCAAACGCTGCACGAAGTTTACTTTCAATTTCTTGGCACATGCAAAGAGCAGCTCCTACAAAATAAAAAGAGCTGCTATAATCAAGAATGGTTATAGGAGGTAAGGTAAACACAGGAAACTTTGAAACTTATAAGTCAAACGCCACACCTCAGGGCGAGAACTCATTAAAGAGACACCAAGAAACGGAATGTCAATTGAAAACCTTTCTTTGTAACTAAGAAAAGATTCATATTTTTGAGTCTGCCTTCCTTTATCTTTCAACTGAGGAACATGAAGACTCTTCAGATCTTCCAAAACATGGTAACTTGAATCAATGATACTTAAAACCTGATTAAAAAGCCATATACATTCATTATTATATCTAAAGCAGAAATGGTATTTGTATCAGAGGTCCACGCTGGATACCTTAATTGCTCTTTCAGAATGGAGAGAAATGAGCAAATTTCTTTCAGGCTTCTGTAAAAATGTGAAGGCGTACACATCAGTAAACGAAAAAAAAATAACTCTA